GCCAATCTTCTTTGGACAGGTGGACACACGCCCTTATTTGTTAATTTTTGTGGTTGTTTATGGGCTGTTCTAATTTTAATTTCATTCTGTTGTGAAACCTTTCTCTTTCACGTTTTTACACTCATCTAAAAATCTCTAGACTAGCTCTTGAAAATTGAAATAGATCTAGACCCAAAAATTTACTCCTTCCCAGACCTCGCAGAATGGCAGAATGAAAGTAGGCGCCGAGCTCTTGCAAATAGGCAAAAAATCACGAGACCGGAAGCTGGAAACCGTTCGGAGAAATAAAGATCGGCACTATTTCTTTTAAAAAAACAACCTCCACGCCTTCACCCCACCCCTGTTCAAACATCTTACACACACATACACACTCACGCTTGCACACCCATACACATACACATGGGCCACTCCATTCGCAAATAACCAAAAAAATCTCTAGAACAGAAACCGTCCACAGAAATAAAGTTCAAGTTTATTTTCCTGAGCGCTCGGAGAAATAAAGCTGGCAAAAAAATTACCAGTTTAGATTCCAGATGTGCTTCACTATTTTATTAGTTTTCTAGCAAAAGATATTGAAGTGCTCCAGGCCTATAGCCTATAGTATAGCCTACGCCATAGATCTACTAAGTTGTAGATCTACATAGCAGGGTTGGGTTGATTTAAATCAGGTCGATTTAAATCAGTTGATTTTTTTTATTCAAATCAACTTGATTTTTTAAATAAAAATCAGTGATTTAAATCACTTTTTTTTAAAATTATTTTTATTTAGTTTTTACATATTTCAACATCCAGAATTCCTTTCCTTGGTTTCATAAAACAGATATAAGGTTTAGTAGAGTAGATCTAATATATAATCATGCTTAAAAGTCTGCTTTCCCCCCTTTCACTGTAAAATAATACAGTATTCAATTGACTTTTTTTTCATAATTGAAATCAGAGCTGGGTTGATTTCAATCAGTTGATTTTTTAAATTTTAATCAACTTGATTTTAAAAATAGAAATCAGTGATTTAAATCACTTTTTTAAAAATGTATTCAGTTTTTACATGTATTTAAACATTCAGAATTCCTTTCCTTGGTTTTATTAAATAGATATAGGGTTTAGTAGACTAATATAATCATGCTTAAAAGTCTGCTTTCCCCCCTGTCACAGTAGGCCTACATGTAAAATAATACAGTATTCAATTTACTTTTTTTTCATAATTGAAATCAGGGTTGGGTTGATTTAAATCAGTTGATTTTTTAAATATTTAAATAAAAATGATTTTAAAAATAAAACTCAGTGATTTAAATCACTTTTTAAAAAATGTATTCTGTTTTTACATCTTTAAACATTCAGAATTCCTTTCCTTGGTTTTATAAAACTGATATAAGGTTTAGTAGACTAATATAATCATGCTTAAAAGTCTGCTTTCCCCCTGTCACTGTAAAATAATACAGTATTCAATTTACTTTTTTTCCATAATAGAAATTAGCATTTTCTTTTTCTTTTTAGACAAACACAAGCGCGCATGCACACACACACTCACACTGTAATATAATGCAAGTTTATCTATGCATAATTACCCCCCCCCCCCCTTCCTTTTAGACTGACATTTTCTTCATTTTTCTGTAGCCACAATTCACTGATCTAGACCCAAGGCTTTCTTTTGCAGTTGCTTACATTAATCATTAGTTAAAATAAAGTTAAAGACAATGCATTTTGCATTATAAGAACATACTTTTAGCCACCAAAAATCCCAAACTGTGTCGACATTTTAAACCCCCCCCCCCCCAAAAAAAAAATCCAATTTAAATAAAACAAATCTGATTTAAATTTAAAAAATAGATTTTTAAAATTTTTATTTAAAAAATCAAAAAAATCACCAACCCTGACTAATAGTAGCCTAAGTTACATGTTCAGCGGAATAGTCAGCCGGCCCTCTTTAATTAAAATTATCAAATTTCATAAAAATTATAAATAGCCTTGGCCTCGAATCTAGATATCTAGATCTAGTCTAGACTCTAGAGATTTAAAGGTGTTTTTTTACTCATGCACCCGTCTCGTATACGTTTTATATACTTTTTTTCTAGATCTAGATCTAATAGTATTTTGCTTGCTGAACACGAATATATGGCCTTAATTTTTGTCGCAAATCAATAGTTATTGAGTATAATGATTGAAAATACAGTCAAACCTGCCCTGACGGCCACACTATAAGACGACCACTTTCCATTTCCCCCCTTGCGTTTTTTCTATATAATTTAACTGTGTAAAACGGGCACCTGTCCAACATGGCCGCGGCCACATAATTTAACACACAACCCCTATCACACTAAGCAATAACAACACCTGTCTTAGACAGCCACCTTAGTGGCTCCATTACGTTTTGTCATAAAGCATTGGCCCCTGGCGTTGCGGGCGAGCCGTCATAATTCAATCACCTATGTCATTGTTGTTAGGTAGTGCCTCCAACCGATCATGTTGCGTAGGCCCCGCCCACTGTTGACCAATAGCTACCAATTTTCAGCAGTTGGTGAGGTAAGCGTGTGATCCCTCATAACCCATAAGCCCCGCCCAGAACTCATACACAAACCGTAAGTGAGATGAGTGGTCATTGTTTACCCAGTCTGCAACAAAGTAACAAACGACGTCAACATGAACTTGTGACAGAAGCGTCGCTCGTTCTCTGAGTGGTGGTGACCCATGTGCTTGCTTTAACATGGCACTCGGTCTTTCTCGTCTGATACATTATGTTTTATTGTCACCCTGTGGCAAAATCAGCAACAAAATAAAAATTACAAACAAAATACAAACCAACAACAACAACAAAAAGGGCTACTTTTGATTGGGACCTCAGATAGGAAAGGTTTTTCTTCTTAAATGCATCTTGATCAGTCCTGCCCAAGACGGCCACCTGTCTTAACTCTTTGACTACCATGGGCCGATCTATCGGCTCCATAACTTCCTAGTTCGTGGCCAAGGCCGAATTATCGGCTCACGTTTTTCTTTCCCTTTCCCTTCTACAATTTGACTCAACCTTTCCGTTTCATGTTTTTAATTGCTGTGCTTACAATACATCAGTCAACCAGTGAAGGAATTTAGCGCCTTTTGTGTTTTATTCTGCTGTTTTTTTGTCATTTTTTCATGTTTTTTTTTACCCGCCCTATGTTGCTCGAATTAGTTTACATGCATAGCAACGGAAAAATGGCTGATAACCCATCAGGTTCCCCCCCGTCACGTTTTTCTGCTTCAAAAGCCCTGGAAAAGTTTGATGGGGAACTGTCAGTACTTTCCGATAGTGATGTAGGAGGTGATGAAGTTAGACCTGAGTCGGACAGCAGCGACAGCTTTGAGATTGAAGATTCGCAAAGAGGGGCGTGTGTGCAGCGTTTTTTTCTCTTTTTTTCATTGAGAGTGATTTCACTAAAAGTGCGACAACTTTGTATATACTTGACCATTATGCATGAAACTTGGCCCAGTTAGAGACAATTGGATATACTTCAGTATGACTAAGTCATGAAGTGATTGGATTTAGCAGCTATACACTGTGAGAAATGTAAGTTGAAAATTTGATTAAAAATTTTTTTTTCCACCTTGTGTTCACTTACCTCCCATGTTTGTTTGGATTTATGATTTTTTTCAATTTTTTTTATTAGATTAAAAATATTCTACATTCAATTACCTTCATTTTGGTATAACATGTCTGACTTCCAGATGGAATTATGCCCATCAGACACAAAAGAAGAACAGGGGTACTTCTGAAATTCTAAGACTAAGAAATGCCTTGGTCACAGCGCGGAAAACACCTTGGTAGTCAAAGAGTTAATACTTATTATACAGCCACTTTTCTCCTTGACAATGGGTGGTCGTCTTACACAGGTTTGACTGATTCTGTAGATATTAGTAACTTAATATTTGACTTGATTTTAACAACATGGGGGGTTTCAGAATCTGAGGGGAGGGGGGCAATCCCCCCTGCATTTCATAATAATTTGATGTTTTTGCAATTAGGATTGAATATAAATACTTGAAAACAATTGATTTGCAAGGGTTTTAGTGGCCATACACGTGTGTTCTAAGTCTAAAATTATATGGCAAAAGTTATGGCAGTTTAGCCCTCAAGGTCACGAGTCAAATCAATACACATCTTCTGTGTGTGGGTGCATAAAAGTAAAAATTTACCAATCTAGATCTATCTAGATCTAGATCTAGATCTAGATCTAGAATCTAGATCTGGTAAGATTGAAGAATACCGGACCAGCGGACTGACTTTGCCTCTATGTCCCAACCTTACGAATTCATAATTTTCCCGTTTTTAATATCTCTCAATGGAGAATCTCGGACTGGTAGATATATTCATTAAAATTTTGTCAGGGGGGAGACCCCCCTGAACCCCCCTCCTCCATCCCACTTTCTGGCGCAATAATGTATGAGTGGTCGGTCCGGTATTCTTCAACCTTCCCTTAGATCTGGATATTAGATTTAGAATCTAGATTCTAGATTAGATCTAGATCTATATATCTAGATTCTAGATTCTAGATCTAGATCTAGAGATATAGTCTAGATAATATCTAGAAATTTGTAGGCCAAATTAAACCTCTCACTCTAATGATTAATCTCACCATTTTAATTGAGCCTAAAGAAAAGAACCTCAAATGTCTCGATCTGCAAAGGGTACTGGCAACCACTCCAGTAGGCAGAAAGCGAAAATGGGGTCGCATTCGCGTCCTGTCCTTTTTCTTGTGCAGACCACCTTGAAATTAAGCCGGGAACAGGCTTAGAGGAAGGTGAGGGATCGATTTTCAGCGTGTCAGGCAACGAAGAGGTCAGAGGTAGGCCTGGCCTGAGGCCTAGTTAATGTTTATTTTGTGCTGCATAATGACGGGGATAGGTAATTTATTTTTAAAAATAAAGAGCTCTTGCTTGCTAAGTAGCTTTCTCCCCTCTTTTTTTAAAGAGCTCTACACATACTCTCACAAAATTCTACACTAAGTGTAGAATTCTGTGCATACTCTACACATTTTGACGTTAAAATTATATCTTCGAATAATTACATAATATTTACATGTAGATCTAGATTTAGACCTATACATTAAATATTATTTAATGTCACGTCGGAATGTTATATAGCTGTCAAAACCGTTGAGGGTGGCACAAAGTAACATCTTTATACTTTCATAAATTGCAGGTCTTTAAAAAATAATTGGTAACGTAGTACATCCATAATTTTCTAAAGTGCCTGTATTTTCTGATTCATTCCAATGTCAAGGGAAAATGATAATTACGGTAGGCCCTACTGTGTGTAAATGGGCTTGATCAGGGCGTGTTCGTTCTGTTTTGATTTCAACAATATGAATTTTCCTCATTTTGACTCAAAATAATCTAATTAACAGTGTTAGCTCATCTATTCGGGTGCTTAAAAAATCATAGTCAAGATAATGACAGTATAAGAACGTATATTAATAGGCTATCTAGCCTGTCACCAAGGAGTTTACAGTAGTTCTAAACTCCTTGCCTGTCACCTATCTGTAAGAAAAACCCCAACAACTTACTTTTGGTCTGCCTTAGAGAGAAGGGGGAGGG